CCCCCACCCCCGCTAAGGCTTTAACATTGATAGGGGCATTCAAAACCGAATTATTCCGTTGATTTCATCTCATTCCAATGTTCCAGCCGCATGTTGTAAGCCAGTAATTGTATTAATTTGTTTTTTCACATATTAGTGAAGATGTCGTCCTCCTTACACAGTTTGTACCGTATTAGGAGTATTTTACTAACGCATTTAATGAAGTACACGCTCTAAACGGTCACAGTTTTACCCGACTGAGTAAATGATGACACGGCCACAAATGCCTTGACGCAGCTCACATAAAGTTCAAGAGACAACAGTGTAACAGTACCTTTGTTGTTTTTGTCGATCTCGCTCTTACTTCTGTGTCTCCCATGTTTGTGTGTCTTGTTTTGTTGCTTTAAAGGACCTGATTTATGCCTAGTCGTGGTTTCCTCGGACGCCATCTTGTTTGTTGCAACACGTGCTTCGTGCTTTACGAAAGAAACCGCTGACCAGTCATTTCCATGATTTTGGGTGTGCGCATGTTTACAAGGAGAGAGGGTTCCCGAGGGTTACCCTAGAAGGCGGGTTACCCTAGCACTCACACATTTCCTCTTTTTTTCTTCATCGTGTTTACAAGGGAGCTAGGGTTACCCGGGTAGGCGGGTTAGCCTATCTGCGTGCTAGGGCTACCCTGGTAGGCGGATTAACTTTTTCTCTCGTAAACACGCCACTTAACCCGCCTTCCCGAGTTAACTTTCTAATTGTTTCCAGACCCTTTGAGTGTAACCGCGCATTAAGTTGTTCCGGGTTGTAGGGTTACCCTACCTGTAAAATTTTGCTTGTAAACCCGGGCTATCTTTTACCCTCGGCTAGGGTTAACCCGCTTACTAGGGTAACTCTCCCTCCTTGTAAACAGGCCCTTAGGCCTTGTTCCTCTGTTTCAAAACGAGTCTTGCTTAAGTAGGCGAAACACATTTGAATGGTTTTTCACGAAGACTCGTTTCGACATAGAGGCAAAAGGCAACTCGGCAGTGGCCTATTAACACCGCATTTGAGGCGCGAAAAATGTAATAAGCGCTGCGACGTTTGTTCGATTTCCGTTTTCACTAATTCAGCACCCATTTCCTTTCCAGGAAAGGCATTCGATTACAGCACTGACTTACAGTTCTTAAAGAATCACCTGTCTGCGGCGAATGTGAATAATGAATGTGAAGAATGATCATCGCAGTTAATTTTCCAATTTAAGTAATTGGAAAAAAGAAGCCTGAAAAAAATCAGGGCTTCAACGGGATTCGAACCCGTGACCTCCGCGAATACCGGTGCGATGCGGAGGTCACGGGTTCGAATCCCGTTGAAGCCCTGATTTTTTTCAGGCTTCTTCTTTCCAGTTGCTTAAATTGGAAACTTTGCTGCGATGATCATTCTTCACTTTCATCTACAACCGCAGTTCAAATATGAATTATTTCATATATACTCCACATCAATGCGAATAATGCTGAAAAGGATAACACCCTTAAATTCTTGTTTCCTTACTGTGAAACAAGACCAGTCCAGTGTATATCCAAGATTATTAAACCACACCTAAATGACGTGTCTACCAATGATTTAATGTAGGTACACGTGAGATACATGCGTGTTATTGTTTGGACATTCAAGAGAGAAGAGTGTGCTGTAGTAGCGTGAACGTACCAGATAGTACGAGTGAATATATGAACGATCATATATTTGAACTGCGGAGAAAGAGATGAAGACATGATTGATCATCGCAGTTACGTACACAACTTAAGCAGATGTAGGGCTTTCTACAAGTTGCTCGGCAACTTTTTGGCAACTTCCTGTATTTCAAGCAACATTTTTCGTCTTGCGCAACTTTTTGCGCTCTGAGCAATTTCTAGTTTTTTTTTATCAATTCTGAGAAATCGGAGCAGCTTTTAGTGGTTAAATTGGCCATGCCTCCTTATTTCACAGTGTGAAATGTTTTTTAAACAAATCAAACTGATGGACGGAGATTCACACTCGATTGACTCGAGTGTCTCCGGTGAAGAATATTCACAACATTAATATTAATATTTGGTTTTGATTGAGGACAATGTTATTTAGCAACGCTGGTTACGCCGCAAAATTGCACAAAAATACTTAGAAATCTTACTTTTGATGTACAATTTGCATATTTTTGCATCAGACCAAATGAAGGAAGAGAGCAACAACAACAAAAATCGTTTTTTTAGCACTTTTGAGCAACTTTCGTTACAAAAACCAACTTTTGACTTTTAGAGCAACTTTTTGAGAAATTGCGGGCAACTTTGTGGGAAAATCTCGCGTAAATTGCGGAAAGCCCTAAGCAGATGTCCAGCTTACATAGAACAAAAGAGTGGTTGACAACCAATGAGGAGATAACGTCATGGTCAAACTGGTCAAACGGACTGGGGTGGTTACCATTTGTAAGAATAAACAGGTTGGGGTGACCGTTGAATAATGGTAAGGATTTTTCCAAGATCAGCAAACCAACCGAACGAGATGGCGCTTACCATTTGTAATTCGATTTCTCGTAATTGTTTTCGACTGATGAGAGACTTGAAACTGGAAAATTTACCAAACGGTAAGGAAATTTCCGTTGTTTCGTTCCGAACGGAAAAAGAGGACTACCTCTGGAGGAAGCCTACAATTTCTGAACGGATTTTCCAGAAAATTGCTGTTCCATTTTACATTCAACCGAGATTTCCGAACTTTTTGGCCAAATGGTAAGCACTCCTGTTATTAGAGATAATTCAAGATGGTCGGCCCACCTTCTTAGGAAACGGGCGGGTTAAAGATATTGATTTTTTCATGACCTTTTATAATTATTCGAAAGTACAACGGACGGAGATTTTGCGACGACGAATTGTGAAGAATTAATTATTCTTTTAGAACTGATTACATTTGAAGGAAATACCAAGCAAACACACAAACAAACACTCATGAAATATGCCACGCATTGCAAGTATTGTCAGAGCACCTTTATCACATTCTAACACACATTGGCCACTGGCATCAACAAGAACGAATGAATAGTTGATTGGTGCCCCGGGCAATTGCTGAACTTCTTACATAATATAAAAGTTTTTTTCCATTCGAAAAAAAGCTTTAATTGCAGTTGAATCTGTAGTCATATGTTACTTTTTTCAAAGGACACACAAACGAGGCGAATATAACACGTCAATAAAAAGCAGAATTCACCGCATTTACCCTATTGCCTCGTTTGAATGTCACACCAATGATAACTGCAATAACAGCTATACAACATCTTACGTTTACCCCAAACAACAACATCAAAATAACTAATGGTTCACAGTGACAGATTACTCTAAGTTCTTCTCAGTTGCCTTATATTCCATGTTTGGATACTTTGATCAATAAAGTAATTTCAAATGGAAAAAGACACTTAACGTACGTTACGCCAAAATCTACTGGTCATCTGCTCTAAAAAAATAGCAATGACGGAAAATTCCAATCAAACGAAAACAAAAAGTGCCTAAAATTTTATTTAAAACACAAGTTAGCAATAAAATCACCCATTAAAGTTCACCTTGTTTAAACTTTTAAAAGTGGTGTGAAAATTTCTTTCCATACAGTAAAGGGCAGGTCAAAGACTTTTCTTTACTTGTCAAAAGGTACTTTAGCTTTGTCAAAAGCCCTTGAGAGATGACAGTCCCAATCAAGGCATCGTCGTCCAGTTGCTGTTCGCCAGGTAAGACTAATCTGAGATTATACATGAACTAAGACGTCTGTAAGGCTCACGACTTGAGGCAATACATAATCTCATTGTTTTTGAACTCCTAGCCTAAACTTTCATCAAGATATAATTCATATATACAGCTATTTCTGGATTAGTTCAAAACGGCAATCCAACAACTGGAACCAAAAATTTCTTACGTAACTTTCATTTTAAAATTATTCTTTTTTGTGGAGGAAAAGAATAAATACAATTAAATATTAAGTAATCTTGGTATATTACATCCTAGCAAATCCAATTTCACAACACTTTTAGTTGTTATTCAGTTTAAGTACGGAATATACGAGGCTATACGCGTGTACTTTCCAAGCTTATAACATCCCCAGGCTAAAAAGATTCCTAAAAAAGCCTTTAATGAAAAACGTATAAGCCTGCTTGCTTTGCTTGCTTCCGGAATTCTGAAAAAAAATTGAGACAAAACATCATTTATATATTATTGCTATCAAAGTTACCCAACCAAGAAAATAGTGTATTTCATGATAAACAGCAATGCTGCATTGTAATGTGCCTAAAGACGGTTTTGTGACCATAAGGTGAGAAAAAAATAAAGGTTCAAGCCAACAAATATAACTACAACGAAAAATGGCCACTAAACAGATGTGATTTTTCATACCTAAGAAGTTCTTTAACATCAGTCTCCTTATCCCAGTATTCTGTAATCCCTTCCACATGTCCTATTCCAACAACACCTACCACAACGCTAGGGACAACTCCTTGGGGTACTGTCAAAAGCACAAAAACATATTAACCTGCCTATGTCACTCAATAATTAAATTTGAACCCACATACACAGGTACCATATAACACGGTATTCATGAACTTAATGCAACACATCTGAACAACTCCAGAGAAAGGTCATTTCATGTGCCAACAATATGACAGTCTGTTACCTCCATCAGGGTTGTGAATTTCAATAGGTCTGGCAGATAATCTCAGTGACCTCGCCAGGTATTGATCTCTTTCCAACACAAAAACTTTATACAATGTGGGAAAATCTCCTGTCATTTCTGCCAACATTTCAGCTAAAAGATCCTTTTGTTTACATCTCTCTACATCCTCTGGGCTGAAAAAATTAAAGTTGAGTACAGTATGAGCCAATTGTACAATGTACGCAGTAACATAGGTAGTGTGTTATTTATTCGGCCAACAAACCAGCCAAAGAAGAGTAATTTTTCAGTGGCTGAGTGAAATGAAATGGTGAGTGAAAAATGTTCTTCTTGCTGACCGCTGGGGCCTGGGTATAGGTCATGTGACCTATAGGGTGGGCAGTTGTTTTTGTTGCGTCCCCCATTGCTAACTTTCCCGCCCACCCACCCAAAGTTTTAAGTTTTTATACAATACCAGTGTAATGCACTAGCCATGAACTTTTTGCGTTATTTCCCGTCTCTAGCGTAATGCTACTTGTATTAGCTTTGATTTTGCAATATAGCTCAGGCGGTAGCGATCAGCTTGACATGGTTACCAGCTGTGTGTGAGAAAAGGAGCATAAGAAAGCTATAAACTGAACTGACTTTGCTGCAATACATTCCTTCAACTCACAGAGACTCCCTTGAATGGGAGAGTGGTTTTTGCTTGACTGTAGAATATAATTCTTTCACATTGATTTTGCGTTTGTTCCCTTAAGCATTGGTTTAAAAAACTTGTTCCACCTTTTCAACACACATTGACCTCACTCTGCTCAAACACATTTTCAAGTACTTCAAATCAGCTACACCTATTTGCTTTGAGTTTTGATTGTTTCAGTGGACTGTCAGTGTCCTTTGTGATTAGCTCATTTGACAAGTGATAATGAAGTTTTCGTCATAAATACAAGACTCAATTGAAAACCACTCTAATACACATATCCCAAACCATACATATATGCAACTGGAATTATCAAGATGCAAAAAAACATAGTTAAAATTAATGCAGTAATAACTAGTGCTAGTTATTTAGTCATCACCGTGGCCAGTACACACCTTATGGGATCTTTAGTTGTAATGAGATGCCAAGCTAATTTCATTTTTTGCCAAATACTCAAGGCACCCATTGCTCTGGAAAGTGTAACCTGGAAAAGGAAAAAAAAATCAGGTACAGAACAGCAACAGAAATCAAAATGTTAATGAGTGCAAATGGTTAACATAATGTAAGAACAGTGCATAATAGACAATAAGACTAGCTATGAGCCTGAGTTTTTTTATGAACGAATAGCCAACAAGGCATAGCTGAGTTGACTATCACTCATAGAAAATGACTTGCAAGTACCTTAGTCTAACTGTTTTTAATACACAATCTTAAGTATCAAAATTAAGAATAATTTTCAGTTTCAAGAGCAGCACACCTGTCACCATTGTCCATTGGCAAAAGAAAACGATGAAAGAACCTGAATCAGATTCAGTGTTTTCAAATAGAACACAGCTGAATGGCGACTGATTATATTCATTTTATTATAGTTCAACACATCTTCTACAGGTAAGTTTAAGTGAGAGACATCTCATAATTTAATTAAATATAATTTTACACTTAGGACAATAACTGCAAGTGGGTTCCTTGGTTTTATTGAGTGAACAAATGATTTGTGAAGTTAAGTGAAATTAATAAATGGGAGTTTAACTTTGAAATGCAAACATAACTTGTTCTTTGTTCTTCTCAAAACAGTATTCCCTTAGAAGAGGTTACATCTTTACACTGCTAAATTCAAGATGGCCAGCTACAAGAGGCACCCCAAGTGGAAGTTCCAAACAAAACCAATGAATTCTTCTGTACACGATACACTTACCTGAATTGGTCGATCTCCTAAATGAATCTGGCAACCAGGTATTTTCCTAGCCTGAGAAAAATTTGAAGAGTTACTTTCAAGTATGGGTCAATAATTTTGTATACTGTGTACTATTGTGTTTACAATGTTCAAATACTGGCTCAGATCTCCGAATTTAGTACACATATATTTATATGTGTAAGTTGCAAAGCTATGAACATGTTAACTGACAAAAACATTGGCAAAAACAATATTGAGGACATCACACATGAATCCTTTAGCATTCCTCAATGGTCTGTGAATACACTGGAAAATAATCTTTACAAAATAAGTTTGCACTTGTAGGCATATTTTTTATTACAAACAAATACAACAGTTTTCCATTGCAGACAGAAAGAATGAAGTATCATTTATGGTGTACAGTGTTAGTAGTACCTCTCTGTAAGCAGCTCTAAACTCGCCACCTGGAGCCATTCCAAGTTGCTTGGTTATGTGTGCTGACATACTTAGTAAAAGCACGTTCATTATGCCACCTATAACTCCGCTCTACAAGCAACAAAAAATTAATAACATGATGTGAATTGCACCATCACAAACACTTATAAATTATGGAGTTTTGTAGTGCTGTAACTATTTTTATCCTGGCTGTCCATTATGCTTGAACACAAACAAGCACTCAAAAAGGCTAACTCAACCTTTATTTAATACGGTTAGTACACACCAGCTCAAAACAAAACATGAATTCTATTTTCTTGTCGCACAAAGTAATGTAAAAACCTGCATATAAGATGCTAGATTTTTCAAAGTTAGCTTGAAAAGGTTTTTGCTTGATATGTTATAGTGTAAGTGTTTGTAGTAATTTTACATAATATATCATTAATATAATATGAATGAGAAAATTACTTCTTCATGATTGGTTGACAGCAGGAACATTTATTGTTGGCTATGCTAATTAGTTCAGGTTCTTTATGCCTTGGTTAATACCTTGCATACATTTTTTTCTAGTATCTACTCTGAAATTGTTTTTGGATTTTCCAAATAAGAACCTGTTTTTAGTTAACCAGGTTAACAGGTTATCCTAGATAACAGCTTGTTACTGCCAGCTCTACACACAGTGCCTAACAACGATTCCCTCCTTTACTTATTCAAAATGGTAAACTGCCCATGTGCCAGCCATACATGTATATCACAATGTATTATAATCAATTTAAAGTGTATGGTACTTACTTGTTTAATTGCAAGTTTTAGTTTTTGCATGTCAATATTCTTAGCCTCCCTTAGTAAAAATTCCTCATCATATTTGAGAATGTCCACTCGACTTTTGCACAGTTCAACTAACACAACATCAGGTTGAACAGCCTGAATAGTCTGCAGAAACAAAAACAATATTCAACATTTCACCAACCATCTTGGTGTCACTTGACACGCTAGTACTCTCATTTTGTCAGACTTATCTTCTCAATGTTTCTCCTTTGTCACCGTTGTGTTTTTAAATAATTTTAGTTGGCCTTCAGGACGTTTCTCTCTATGCCAGCATGTACATGTATGTAACAGTCTCAGTATAATCTGACTTGTAATGGGTAAAACTAGGCTGAAATTTTTCATCTTCTTTGCTATCTTAGATTGGACTTCACTTGTCATTCAAAGAAAGTTATTAGGGACTTTGCTAATACCAAAACTGACTAATGACTACTGGCAAACTTTACACGAGTCTTACAGCCTATACCATTTTGGCTACACTGACCAGTCACTTTCAAAGGACCAGACTTAAAACACTGTTGACTGATAAACACTATTCACTTGACTCTGAAGATGACTTCCGCTCAAGTTGTCGAAACATTAGTCACCAATGACAGTTCTTTTCAGAACTACCCTCACCCGGACAATCACACTATAATTTATGAACTAAAGTCAATCAAGTTTTACAGTGCTATGCACTGTACTGTTGTTACTTGAGAAAGTTTTTGATTAAATTTTGACATCTTTTTGACAACTTTCGGACAACTTTATACTGGTTTCTATTTGAACTGGCCAATCAAAAAATGGGAACAGTTGAGAGCAGAAATGTTTGATTGTCAAATTCAACTTTAACCCTTTAAAAACTAATAAAAACTTTCCTGTACTGTAGGTGGCAACAATTAGATGAATGGCACTGTAAATTATTTCAAAATTTTAAAATTATAACGAATGTTTTAATTTATAACTTTAAATGTTACAAATTTTAAGGGTTTTCATTATGTGTGTGAGTGCAAATGGTGAATGGTCCATTATGACACTTCTGAACTTGAAAATGGCTGAAATTCTGAAGCATAAACTACAATCCAAATATTGTCATCATTGTTGTCGTCATCATCAACACTATAACTTTCAACACTTAAGCTACTGTCATTGTTTTAAAAGTAGAGATGAAAAGGACTAACCTTTGCCACATCATCCTGGCTTTCCTTACTGAAGTGTGCAGTACCAACAACATACACTTTACATCCCTCTGGAGTCTCTAGTTTGGTCACTGTGTCAGGCAACTCTGGACAAGAGCTTCTTCTTAATCGCTGGATATTCATCAGAAGTTCTTCAGAAATACTGACATCTTGGGGAATTTCAGGCTCTGAAGGCATTCCTAGGAAAAGAAAATTTAATATTCAAATCAAAAATCAAAAATGAATTTCATGCATGTACTTCATAGTAATACAATTTCACGGTAAATTATGTAGAAACCTCTAGGTAGTCAATACTAGTATAGCCATCTCCTTCTCAGTGATGCACAATGCTAACAACACTGAATATGGAATTGGTTTGTTGTAAACTACATGTATTGCAAGCATTAATTAAAGGCACTCATCTAAGTTTGTTGTTTGGCACAAAATTTAATCCTTTGCAAACCTAGCAGCAAAAGTGTAAACAAAACCTCCAAGCTATATCTGTGCAGTTCCAAAAGGTATAAGTCACTCACTAACCCTGCACAGCATCTCGTCCAGTTGCTATGGATACAGAAGTGAAGCAGTAGAATGTTGAACCATGAGATTCTAAAAAAGCTTAAACTGCATAACCCACTTAATAGTACCTGGTGGAGTTTCCTGTCCTTCATGTTCTTGCACAATATAAAAAGATGAGTTTTCTGCAGGCTCTACAAGTGTCAGTCCCTCTGGTGTTTCTATCACCATAAGTTGTTCATCGTCATCAACTTCATTATCAGCATTTTCATCAACATCATCATTTCCTTCCCTTGCATCCTCGAAATCAAGATCATCGCTGCCATCCTCTTTATCTCCCTGTTCATTTACTTCTGGCTTTTCATCTGAAATGTTTGTTCAAATAAAATACTAAAATCAATTATTAATAATTAACAATGAAACATGGGAATTTCATTGGATTAAATTTAAAAAGTGTTTTAATTCAATGAATTTACAAATATGAATGCAGCTATACTCATGGAAAGAGAAACAGTAAAATGGACACTGCAGCTGGTTATCTTGTTTGCCATGAAGTTCTTGATAAACGTATTAAAGATACCGTACCAAAGATCAAGCTTGCGTCTGACAATTTGATCACATGGGGGTCAAAAATACTGGCTGCACGATTGAATCTCTTAAAGTCAAACTATTCTTCAAAGAAGGAAAAAGGTTGCAGTGTAATCCTCATCCAAAACCAAGCTGATCACCAAGACAAAGAGATCTCAAGGTAGAAGTGTGAAAGCCTAAACATTTACTATGCTAGACAAACTTAAAATCAGCTGAGTTTTATAACCACCGCATTAATTTTTTTT